TGGGGCATCGGCTGCTCTCCTTTTAGGCTTTTTCCTTGCTTGAGAAAAAGTTGTACATCTTCGGTTGACACCTCAGATGTGGAAAGGCAAGGTCGTACAGGGATGTGGGCTTTATCAAGCTGTAAGTGCTAGGAGGCTCAGGAACATTCACCTCCAACGTTAAATGAATCTCTGCAGTTGAGCTCTGCTCCTTTTATTTTGTTTCCTGTGAATTTCCCAACCCATCTCCAAAACAATTTTCTCAAATCTGTTTGCAGGATCTGTTAGAACAATGGCTTAATTCAAGGAAACGGCTCCCTGCTCACGGGCAGCCATGAACGCGCTAACAGGATACATTAAACAAATAAATTAAGTAGTGTCAGTTATTCACCCGGCATTGTTGAGGATAAATATGTAAACATGTCCGCACGATCTGTAAACAACCGCAGAGGCATTAGGGAGGGGAGGGCGGGTGGCTGGCAGCCCGTGCTCAGCCCTGCTGCTGCAGGCCTCGGCGTGTTGCTGCTGGTGGACCTGTTCTGCTGAGCACGCGCTCTGCCCGCGGCTGCCGTGATGCTGGGCGCTGCTAGGAGTTGACTGGGGGCACGTAACGAACCTGGCTTCCCCAGTGTGCCACGGGCATGTTCTTCTGCTGGAAGGGGGCTGGAGGAGCACTGCCAGTGATGTGCATCTGGTTGACTTGTCTGAGCCGTGACCGCCCGCGTGCCTCGTTCCAGCTCCAGGCTGCCACTCTCTCCTCTCTTTTTTCATTTCCTTTTCCTTTATTTTTCTTCTTCTTTTTTCTTTCTTCTTCTTTCTTCTTTTTCTTCCCCTTTCCCTTTCGCCCTTTTCCTTTCTCTTTTCCCTTTTTCCCTATTCCTTTTCTCTTTTCCTTTCCCTTTTCCCTTTCACCTTTTCCCTTTTCCCCTGTCTTAGAATCATGGAATCATAGAATTATAGAATCATAGAATCATGAAATCATAGAATGGTTTGGGTTGGAAAGGACCCCAAGGATCAACAAGCTCCAACCCCCGCTGCATGCAGGGCCACCAACCTCCATATGTAATACCAGACCAGGCTGCCTGGGGCCCCATCCAACCTCGCCTTGAACACCTCCAGGGACGTCCCCTGTCCCCTTTCCTCTTCTCCCTGACCTACACCAGGACACCTGGGGGCTCAGTGCATTGCAGGTGAGTTCAGCTGGTTTGGCTTTTGTGGCTCAGGACTGTGAGGATCCCACAGGGACGACTTCCACCACTTGTTTTCCAAAAAACTGCTTTGTGTGCATGCTGATATCCCAGCCTGCTGCCTGCTCACGTGTGAGCACTTATTCGTGAGCAGTCGAAGGCCGAGCAACATAAATGAAGCCTTCAGTAAACACGAGCACTGTCTGCACTGCTCCCAAGTAATGATCTGTCATTCAGATGATTAACAGAGGATCTGCCATCTCATCAGCATTTCTTATCTTCTGTAACAATGACGGCACTGACAGCGATGGATAATGAATGTAATGTTATGTAATTAAAAATGGGCTGTGTGAAGATCCTCTCCTGAGTTGCAGGTGATAATATGTGTATTGTTAGGGTTTTTAAGGAAGTACATAAGCCAGAAGGTGTCTCGCTGGCACGGGGAACAGCTGGCTTTGTGTACGGAGCAGGCTGTCCCATAGGCTTAGGACTGCTGCGAGTGGCAGTGACTGGCTTTCTGACCTCCACTGCAAAAGGTTACCTTGGCATTTTTTCCATGTGGAAAGTATTTTTTGATGGAGCCTCTTGTAGGTCTTGCATTCTCAATGGAGGTCAGCGAGTGAAGCTGCAGTCCATGGGAAGCGGCTGTTTTTTGCAGCAGGAGGAAGTTGGGTCTGAGGTGGAAACAGAAGAGATGGTGAATAATACCAAAAGGCAGTTGTTGCAGAATAGCTGCAGCAGTCAATCAACTGCAACAAAATGCATTAAAATACGAGATTTTATATTTTAATGCCTGTAGAGGCCTGGAGCTGTGCTGTCCTGCTGTCCTTCTACCCAGCCCCAGCACCACCAGCGTGGAGGGGCTCCCCTCGATACCTCATGCCTGGGAAAACTGGCAGAAATACCCATTAGAACAAGGGGGAAAGGTGATGGGTGAGGGTTTGGTTGTGCAACACCCCGATACAAACTGAAACCTGACGCAGTTGGAGACGTCAGGCTGTATTCCAGGAGGCTGCATCCCGCCTGGTGCTGCTGTCTGCCTGTACTCCAGGAGCTCAGCAGGGCTCTGGCAGTGCTGATGGCTGTGGGACCTTCACGTGGGGGGTCTTCAGCCTTATCCACGCAATCACGGCCAGCACTGTCCCCACTGCTCTGTGCACAGTCACAGTGGTGCAGACCTGGGCTCAGGGCACAGTGGGACAGGGATAGGCAGACAGGCACCGGGAGGGACGTGCAGTCAGAACCTCCTTTCCTCAACCTCACTGACTTAGGAAAATGAATGAGATGCCTCCCCATCCCTGCAGGCATTCAAGGCCAGGCAGGGTGTGGCTCTGGGCATCCTGGGCTGCTGGTTGGCGACCTGCACACAGCAGGGGCTTGGAACTGGGTGAGCATTGTGCTCCTTTGCAACGCAGGCCATTCTATGATATGGTTCCATAATGCAAAAAAGTTGAGATGAGTCACAACCCCAAACCCGGGGAGGACAGAGGAGCCCAAGGGACGGCAGTGGGGTTGCACCGGGGCTGTAGCCCAGCAGTGATGGAGACATCTGTCCCTGTGCACAGGACGGGGGGGTGACAGTGTGCCCAAAGCCCCGGTTCGGTTCAGCTGAGTTCTGAAAGACGACGCTCACAGCAGTGTCCTTCACGCAGGACGCGGCAGGCCTTCCCCGCAGCCCCGACCCCAGGCACGGCTGCAGACCCCCGCCGGGCTCTCCTCCTCCTGTCCCCTCCCAGCCTCGGCCGTGGCTCGCAATCGGCTTTGAAATGATGGCGCAGACCGCGCTGCAGTAACGCATTGCAGCCCATTATTTAAACAGACGGGCAGCCCCTGTTTAGTTTGCCTGATGAGGCGGTTTTTTTCCTGCTCCTGAAAGAGTGATTTAGTCTCTGTTACTTTTATCAGTGCAGACATTTTCTATTGGAAGGGATTGGAGCCCTTCCAGCTCAACTAATTTACATGATAAAGTGGTTGACAGGGGGAGCAGCGGGCAGTTAGAGAGGGGAATATGCTCGAGTTCTGTGTGTTTTGGCTGTGTCTACCTGCTTTTATGTAGCACCGAAGTATGCGTTCCGTGAGAGATCACTTGCCATGTTTGGAGCTCTGTGAGCACAGCAAAAAAAAAAAAAAAAAAATCCCTATTGATGACACAGAGGTTCAGACTGACTGCTTCTTTAGCTGTGCCAAGTGCTCCCTGATAGCTCTTTCATGAGGTTCTCTTTGGCAGCGTGAGTTTTCTGCTTTGCAACTTCAAACGCTGAACGTGGGGTTCCTGCTCGGCCCTTCCTCAGGGGTTCAGCTGCTCCGTGGCTCCGGGTGAGGATGAGGAGTGCTTCCCTGGTGAAGGCAGAGAGCAGCGTGGGGGGCTGTGCAGGGAGCCCATGGGAGCACAGCCGTGGGGCAGCTGCACACACAGCGTGTGTGCTGTATGGCTTATCCCGAGTATATCGTAGCAATCCTGCCCTCTGATGTCACTGTTACCTGCTCAGCCTGTGCCATCAGAAATGCTGAACTCATTAGCTTGGACAGATTTATGGGGTAAGCGTATGTCGTTGGTATTATGAGAAGCAGTTACATTCATCGGGAGATTTTATGATTCACCGTATCCGCTTATGTAAACCTTAACTTGGACAGCAAGAGCCTCTCGGGAGCACGCTGTCATTCTGGCAGGGTCATCAGAGCTCGGTGGGGCTGTGGGCAGGGGCTGGGGGGAGCGGGGTGCTGGGGTTGGGGACCGACACAGAACAGCCGGGGCCACTGGGGTTCAGGAACAGAGCTTGGAAGGATTGGGGGCAAAACTTGTGGGGTTGGGGAGCGGAGCTGGTGGGGATGGAGGCAAGGCTGGCAGTGCTGGGGAGCAGAGCTGGTGGGGTTGGGGTAGCAGAGCTGGAAGTGTTGGAGAACAGGGGGAGCAGGGCTGATAGTGTTGGGAAGTGGGGCTGGTATGGTTGGAGGGAAGGCTGGTAGTTGGTTGGGGAGCAGCACTGGTAGGGTTGGGAAGCAAGACTGGTAGGGTTGGGGAGCGGGTCTGGTAGAGTTGGGGAGTGGGATGATAGGGCTGGGGAGAGGGGCTGGTAGGGTTGGGTACATGGGCTTCTGGGGAGCGTGGGTGGATGGTACTGGGAAGGCTGACCACCAGAGTACAGGGCTAGTGAAGATGATGGTCAAGGCTTCCAGGGTTGGGGAGCAGGACCAGGTGAGTTGGGGAGCAGGAGCAGATGATGCTGGGGAGCAGAACTGGATGGCAGGGAGCAGGGCTGGGGATCAGGAGCAGATGAAGTTGGGAAGTAGGATGAGACGGGGTTGGGAGGCAGGACGAGATGACAGCGGGAGCTGGGGGGATGGAATCAGGGGAAGTCAGGGATCAGGAGCACGTGAAGTCGGGGAGCGGGAGAAAGTGACAGCGGGGAGCAGAGCTGGGGAGCAGACGTAGCGAGGAGCAGGCGAAGTCAGGGAACGGGGCCGGGGGGGC